GCCCCACTTGACCCTAATTTCTGGACAATTTACAATTATTTTATTATTTAAATTCTGCAAGTCTGAATTTGAATCTCGATATTGACCCATTAGAAAACATTTTACAAAAATTGCAATTTGTGAAAATTACGAGTATTTTCTGTAAATAATTTATAAATAATCGATCTTCCACCATAAACATCATTCCTTCGGAACCGTAACAAATTTATTCATATTGTGAATTTTACCAGAAAGTGATATCTTCGTCATTCTGCACTGAAATAAAAAATTTGCTCTGTCGAAAACCTGAACGTTCCACATGTGAATATTTAATGGAGTGGAATGGATGTACTTGGCAGAAATGAACCAACTTGATAGCAGGAAATTTAATGTCTTTCACAAAAATTAAATTTTTGTCGTGATCATCAGAAATAATCATAGAAGAATTCGAAGTGTTGGCAGGAAAAAATATAATCCATTGTTCGACAATCATTTGATCTGAGAGAACTCCATAAGTTTATACCACAGAAAAAATACATTGACAAGGAAAGAAAATTTTTTCCCAAAAAACAAATCGTCCCTTCAAAATTATGTAGTGTTGTCAATAACACAGTTCTCAGTAAACAAATTGTAGTTTCCTCTTGAAATAATCATTTGTTCCATGGAAATTATAAGTATTTATTGGACAAAAATGTCCACTACTCAAATACCATTCACTTGGTAAAACTAATTGGTGGAGACTTTGCCTTTTGTCCACTTGTGAATTAATTCAACATGACGAAACATCTCCTCAGGGGAATATAAAATAACCCTAGAATTTTTTCAAAGACTCTATCCGTGCAGTCGACTGTTCCCAAAATTTCAACTTTTTTTCAACAGTGCACCTGGTAATGTAAATTGAGATTATAAAAACAGGTGCAAAATATCCTCTAATCTAACGTGAAATTGTAGCAAAAGCTCTTATCTGATTTTCAACTCCAAACGTTACAAGGATTTCAACGGGAAAAAAAAATATTCGAAGTACTCGGAGATCCTCAAATGGTACCCAGTTACTGCATGAAAGTGCATAGAATATGCGATGATCATAGAGGACTCGGAAATGCTCCCTCTCGTTGGCCAACTGAGAGCAAACGTCAGGCGTGTGTGCATGTGACGAGCGGGCACTTAATTCAACTCTTTCGGTACGGAGGGGTAGACGCTACTCCGGCCGACGATTTTGATACGCGTAATAACTGGATAACGTGCGAAATAACCACTGCACAGTGGCCAGAGTGCGTCGTAATTTTTTGTCACCTTTTTTGCACATTAATGTTGAGAATTCGTGTGAAAAGGGTAATTAAGCCATCGGAGTGTAATGGACCATTGGAAATGTTTCAGGGGCATTTTATTTGGGTTGAAAAAATTTACGAGAGGGTTTATGAATCCATCATCCTGCGGGTATTATTTGCTTTCAATCCTCGGGGATGTAGAAAAATTAATTGACATGATAAAAGTGGACATTCGAGTTTCGGAATCTTTTCGAATGTGATGAATATTTTTAAGGAATAGATGGTATTTATATCAAGTTGAATTTAACAGGCTGAGAGGCCATACGCTGTTCATACGGAAAAAGACCTTGAATTTAGTTTAAGGGAAAAGAGTCAATGGAATTTCAAATTTTTTTGAAAACTTAAGTAAAGTGTCATTTTTTAGCGATAGGAAGATGGAAATTCCACAATTTATATGAATATTCGCTGCCGAATTCCCTTGGATTTTCTGTGAATTCCTTTAAAAGTCTTGGAATTCCTGGAGTTTTTGAAGGAACTCCTTGGAAATTCAGAGGAAGCGGGAATTCAAGGAGAGATTCCTTTGCATTTTCCTAATTTTTCATTCATTTCCCCAGAATAATTAAACTGAAATTTACAGTTCTCACGGATTTTTCGAAGAAATTATGAATTTTCAACGTTAAAATTCCTTGAAATTGCATGGAACATATTATAGTAAATCTCATGAGTGACATTGAATTGAATTGAGGGAAAAAATGGTTATGAAATGTTAAGTTTCAAGTAGAATTCACGGAAATTCATGAGTTTTCCGTGGAAGTGAGATGGAAATTTCACAACTTGACTGAATTTTTAGCGGAACATGAATATGTAGAACCAGATTGGACCAATTTTCCATTGACCCTACATTTTTCTGATTTTTCTGAATTTTCACCCAATAATTGAACCGAAAAATCAAGTATTTCATTGATTTCCAGGTCATTTGAACAGAAAATCACTGGAATATTTGATTTTTCAATAAGATTTCCTGAAATTGCAGTGGAACTTGATCACGATAAAAACTTTCGGAAAAAAACCTTGAATTCGATTTAAGAGGAAAGAGTCAGAGGAATTTCAAGTTTCCCTGAAAATTCAGGTAAAGTCTCATTTTTTTAGCAACAGGAAGATGGAAATTAAATTCCCTAAAAATTCTGAGGAATCTGAAATTCAAGGAACGATTTCTCTGAATTTTCTGGATTTTTAATTAATTATCTTAAAATAATTGAGCTGAAATTTAGACATTCCACGGATTTTTCCACTGAATTATGAATTTTCGATGACAAAATTCGTCGAAATGTCAGTGGAAATGTTAGCTATTAGAAATTTCCAAGGTTACCGGAACTTTCAGTGGAAAATATTGAACAGTGTATCACCGTACAAATATAAACACCGGATAATTCACGAGCATTCCCTCAATGATCTCCCGTTTAAAAATACCCCCTCGCAATTCCAAAAAAGTTGAATTCACTGGAGCAATTATAGCTGAGCCCGCAAAAATTCGTTGACCCGCCAAGTGCGATAGATATACGACCCCCTAAAACACTTGTCCCCTGTTCTTTTTCCTCCTTTTCCCTCGGTCTGGGGGGATAACACACGGCCTGCGACGCTCGTCGCCTTTAATGAGGCGAGCCTTGACGCGCACATTGCTTCTATTTACATTCACCCTTTACCTTTTTTTCCTTCCCCCATCTCCCTCCTCCCTTCCGTCTTTCGTTCAACCCGTGCATGTGTCTTAGGATTATCCACGGGAAATTTTGCTCCAACGATTCGTACCAGATTTAAGATTGAATGACGGTTTGTGCTCGGTGAGTCGTGACGACCGCAACTTTAATGACTGGTTTCTGGGTACGTACTCTCTATTCATACATGCAGGGCTAATCCGTGTATTTTTCTCTCAATTCCCTTTTTTCTTTTTCCTCTTTATTTGAATTATTTCACCGGGATTTTCACAGTTCGTTGCACCTAACCGGGGGCTTTTCAACCCGTTGAACTTCTTCAAATGACCTTCAGCCATTAGAAAAACGTGCGAATGTGATGTTTGCTGATGAAAAACTTTCACTAATCCTTTTCCCAGCATTTCCCAATATCTTTCGCCCTCAAATAACATTCATCTTTCAATTTTTCCGGATGCCATTTCACGCCTTGAATCAACCGAGACCCTTCCCCCCCATTAGCCGCAATTGAAAGTCCCGTTAAAAAGAAAGCATTCATAGCAATTGGTTATTCTTACGAAATGGAATTTCCAATCACAATGTTGGAAAAAAAATTTCATAGATAACTGAGGCGCAATTTTTAGGAGATCAAAATTGAATTCGATTCAAGGAATCGTAAAATGCGAGGTAAAATGTAAAAATTTCTAATTTTGAAGCAGCAGAAACACAAAAAGTCTCCAACTCACTTGAATTTTCAGCCAATATATTTCTGCTAACAAATTAGGAATTTGCTTCCGAATGGACTTTCTATGCAAATGTATTCTTTAAATTAAATTCAATGATTCATTCAATTCATTAAATTGAATGAATTATTGAATTTGACATTGTCCCAACGTTGGCAGCCAACATTGCCCCAAAGTAAAATTTTTTCACCTTTCCTTGAATATTGGTTTCAAAATGAATTTCTTCAACGACAGATAATCCAATCAATTGCATGATCGAACTTGATCAAGACGGCATTGGGAAGTATATTTTTAATCACAATTGGACTCATTCAAACAATTATATTCCCTTCGTCGAAAAATGATCAGTCACGTACATGCATACGTACGGACATTCTCCAAAAATAGCACATTCGAACTCCTGAAGCCAAAATAAGTGATCCTGCCACAAAAAACCATAAATTTCGCAAGTGTCGACTACAATGCTTCCATTCGGAGGCAAAAACCGTGCGGTAGTGATGTTTGCAGATATGAAAAACTGTCGCCAACTTTTTCCCCACCACCTCCCACCATCCCCCGCCCACGGATAGCATTCATCCCCCAACCTTTTCAAAATCCCGTCCCCCCTCGCAACACCCAAAAATCCCTCCTCCCCCCAATTACCTGTGATTAAAAGTCCCTTGAAAAAACACGGCATTTATCGAGTGTAGACGAAATGTAAATTGAACGTTGAACACCTCCAGTGTCCACCGGGAGATAGCGCCACAAGAATCGCGCGCCGCACGTGCCAGCTCCCTGTTCCACTCCATGTACAACTACTCCCCCCCTCGCCCCGCTGGCCATGTCGCGGTACCTGCCGAGTGTAGCGAGGGTTTCCGGGAACGCCCGAAGTGCACTTGCGGCTGCGATCGAGCGACGCCCTTCCCCTCCACCGCTTTCCCCACCCCAAGCCCCATCCCCTCCCCTCCACGCTCCATCTCCCTCGTTCGCCTCCAAAAACCCAAAATTCCGCGTTTTTTTCGCCATTTCCCGGAATTTTGAAGCCCTCAACGACCACAAGATGGCCGACCCACTCCCCAAAATGGCGGACATCGTAAAAATGACGACAAAAAATCCCATAAAATGACCAGAAACAATGTTTTCACTCAGTTCAATGCTCTCACCGGCGGTTCGAACGTATTTTCTCTCATCTCTCTCCACCGAGTCGCTCCGCCGGTCTCTCCTCTCCCTCCCCCACTGTGATTTCCCCCACTCCTCAAGCACCAACCAGAATCGCTGGCTCCCGCCACCAGGGGCTCCCTCGCCCCGTTTTCCGTAGTCGAATGAGCCAGTGAGGGCAACCCGTATCTCGCCAGTGTTCACAGTCGTATGTATGCTCGGGCAGTCGAGGCTGCTGCGCGTTGTGTTTCACAAAACCGGCGCGTTTTACGTTTATACCCACATACACTACCCCTTGCTACCCATTCGACGCCATTGTTACCGTACTTGACGCCGACTGATTTGTTTAAACAATTTTTCCCCAGTGTGTAATTAAAAAAACAAACAAAACCGCCCAGAACTGGTGTAACATCTCGTGACAATAGCTGTGGATACCGGAGTACTATCGACCTTGGCAACGTCCCGGAAGCCAGGGGTAAGAGCCCAATCTCCAGTTCATCTCGTTTGTCATCTGTAATTCTAGGGCTCAGGTGAATCGTTATGTCGGGGGAATAATATCGGCGATTGAGGCGATCTCGTCAAGCCGTGGTCAGAGATTTTTTTGTTTACCCCCGGGGGGAAAACAATTGCCCGATAAAGGAGACTCACCCCAGTGTTTGTTTATTTACACAATTTTAATCGCCAACTCTGTAATACAACTCTCCACTGAACTCACGAGTACTGATTTAACGGATTCAGAGAGTCAACGGTAACAAACGAGATCTTTATCATTGATTAATTCAGTCACCAAAGCTCGTGGAAATAGTAACCTTCGAGTGAGTGTGTTTACAAGTGCAGTGGTGTTATGTGCATTATGTGATTTCGTGCTTGGGCTTTCTGGTTTTTTTGTGCCCCGGAGTTGAGACCATATTTATTTTGACACAAGCCGGGAAATACTCGGAAGGATACTGCGTGAAGGTTAGTACTCATTCTTCTGGCTTTATTTCTTTTTCTCGCTCTTCGGGCGCCTCGTCTCTTCGCCGGTGTTCCTCTTATTTTTCTACCTTCGGGGGTTCGCCAAGTCTCATTTTCCTTTTTTTTAACTCTCTTTACTACTACTTTTCGCGTTTCACGTTCACTCCTACACTTTCTTCCTCGTCTACGTTTTACCTCTTCCTTTTGCAACTGGCTTGGAAATAGGGAGGTTTGATCGATCGTGGGATTGTATTTTTTTTTTTCGCCGGTGTTTCCCCTTCGTCTCCTTCCTACCACCGTCGGACTTCCTGAAGGATTTTCTTGCCCTCTGTTTTTATCTCTCGATTTTCAACCAGCGGAATGTCGGAGTCTCGGGTATGGATGTGAATTTTCAGCCAGATTTCAGGGATTCATCGTGATCCGGGGGTTTTTTTACTGTTTCGATTTTTAAGGGTGCAGGGGTTGGGGGGAGGATGGGGTGGGTCTTTGTTTTCGATAATGTCGAAAATGTTTGGGCATTCTGATGAGCTGGGGATGCAGCACTCGCTTCAGGGGAGGGTTTACGCTGAAACGATGTGCAATGTTGCGTGATTAGAATCTCTTGTCGGGTTAATGATCTCTCTCACCCTTGGATTTTACCTTTCCCGTGTGTATTAAAGGCGGAATGGTTTGTGTTAGCTTACACGAGGGTTTTGGGTGGTGGATAGTGTAGACCAGTGGTTGATTGCTATCGGGGACTGGTGGGCCATTGCCAGCTGCTCTGGAAAATTTCTATTTCAGAAGAGAAAAAAAACAAGTAAAGGGGCTCTGGTGGCGGAAGGAAGTTGGAGAATTGGCTAGTTTATTTAATGCTCGGGGAGAATGCTTTTTTTTTGCTCTGACTTTGTGCGGATTTTTCTACGGGATTTTGGTCGGGATTAGGAGAGGAGAGCGAAGTGAGTTGGAGGATAAAACTGGACATTTTATCGTTGCGCTAATATTAATGCGAGCCAACATGGGATAGGTATGCGCATAGCAAGAATGGCACGTTCGTGTTCCTAGTGCAGTTTTCTTATCGGGCCTGATATGTGCGCTGGTGTGTGCTAAGCAATTCGTGTCTTCCATTCTCTTTCCCACTTGGGCGCTAGTTTAAAACCGTATGTGCAAGCCCTGTGGATTTTTTTTGGCGATGGGGGTTTCTTGTGTGGTTGTTGGGAAATAAGGGCGGGAGGGGGAGTTTTAGGGGGGTTTTGGTTGTGGGGAGGGGAAATTGGGAAAGTTTGGGGGACATTTTGCGAATGGGTTGAATAATAATAGAATTTTCGAGGAATTTTTCTCACAGAAAACAATCTTTCGATATTTTTCGGCAGATTTGAAGAGTTTTAGAAATAGTTGCAGAGGATTTTCGTAGGGGAATGGGAAAATTCGTGAGAAAATGAAAGAATTGTGTGCATTTTAGTTTAATCAGTGGGTCAAATTGAGTGAAAACTGATGGATTTTTATGAATTCTACGTGGCATGAGAAATTTCATATTATTTGACTGCATAAAAAAGTTTTTGAGTGAAGTTTTGAGGATACTTACTGGAAGTTTTTGTTAACTGATAGTTCCAGCGAAATTTTAAGGAATTTCGTTATTAAAAATTCACAATTTGGTAAAAAAGACCAGTGGGAATCAAGTTTTAGCTCATTTATTCGTGGAAATTGCTACAAATCAGGACAATTCAGGTAAATATATTCTTAAATTTTCAGTGCAGTTTGAAGATCTATAATCCCCCTCTGAGAATTACTACTAAACTTTCCGTAAAATTCCCATTTTTCACAAATCAATATGAAACAACCGCTTATCACATAAATTGGAAGTTTAAAGTTTGACAATTGTTGTTTTTCTGTGGCTTAAAAACTCAAAATTTCAATGAATTTCCAGTGATTTTTTAAATTCCATAATCCTTAAATCTAATTAAATTTTAACATTAAGTATAATCATAATCATAGAAATGGAGTGAATATACACGGTTCAATTGAAAATTCAAGCAAGTTGAGGAATTCTTGTGTTCTTCCGTTACAAAATTCGTGAATTCATCGATATTTAAATGCAATTTCAAGGTTTACAATCCCTTCCATCGAATTCTACATCGATCTCCTGAAAATTACTCCTAAACTGTTCATAAACCTCTCATTTTGCACAAATCAATATCAAATAACAAATTAATATCAAGTCACATAAATTGCAAATTTAAAGTAACTGAGAACTCTCTGTTGCAATTCGCATTTCAGAATTGATGTCTTTCCGGTGCTCAAAAATTCGAAATTTCATTGAATTTCCAGTAATTTGTCGAATTCCATCATCCCTTAAATCAGATTCAACCTTCATATCCAAAAACGCGCCAAATTCTTCATGAACGTTCAATTTTTCCAAAATAAATATAATCGTAATCAAAGAAATGGAGTTTAGATTTATGCAGTTTTCGATATTCATCTTTCGATTGAGAATTCAAATAACTTGAGAAATTCTCGTCTTCATCTAAAAAATTCGTGCTTCCGTCGATATCTCAATGCAATTTCAAGCTTAATACTCCCCTCCATCGAACTCCCCGTCGATAACCCGAAAATTCCTACCAAACCGTCCATAAAATTCCCATTTTTTCCAAATCAGTATCAAACAACGGCTTATCACGACATCCCAACGAATTTGTATCACGTAACACCTCATTGAAATATCCAAATCTCCATAAACATGTATATCATTGATCCCGAATCTCCCCAGATATCCGTTAGCCGGTGGGAGATCTTGAGCATGTGATACCCGATGGATCCGGAAATTCGACTGGCCACTGAGGTTTTCAGCGTGACTTCCTTTGTTGCCCCGTGGTGTTTCGTACAACCCATTCAGCACGAGGAGTTTTTGTTTTCTCCTTTTAGAAACTTGTACATGCGTGACACGATAAACATCTGACAAACCGGTAAGGTCACTGTCTCTCCCCACGGACATCCGTACTCTGATGTAAAACAAAATTTACTCCAAATGTGCTTCCCCCCTTCCCCCCCCCCGTGATACAGCTTTTCCTTCATTAATTAATGCTCATGTTTTCTCTCGATTTATTCTCTCATTTCGTGAGCAAATGCTCGTGAGGTCTCCATCGTGATTCCACTGATAAGGTCAAACATGCATTTCAGTTGGGTTTATTAAATACAAATGTCAGGGGGACGGGGGGAGAAGAGGTGAATTTAATACGATTATTCATTGTTAAGTCTAACGAGAAGAGTCCCTGAATAAATAACACTTGGGCTTGTATCGTTAAGAGTATTATACTCGTGTATATGGTGGACATGTACATACAGGGTATCTTACTCGTATATATATCGGCTTATCTTGTAAACACAGAGCTGTGTCAAGATAAATATTTAAAGCGTTTTAACTGCGAGAGGAATCACTGAAACCCAACTCTGATTGCAAATTATTTTATCTCGGATGAGATTTTCTCGTTTTTTTTTTTGAGTCGGAAGATACTCAAATTTTGTTGCGTGTGGACAAACGAGGGGAACTTGTGCCGAGTAATTGGAGATGTAGAGTCGAATGGTCGTTACCTGCGTGGGGCGTCTTCCTTTATTCTCTTTAAGCTTTCTATTCATCCGCTGAAGTGAGTTCCTTGGATTTATTTTCGATGGACCGGGGAAAATCGCTGAGGGCCACTGCACTCAATAGGGGCATCTGCTCGGCGAGCAGCATTTCGAGAAATGATGATTTATTTGGTGAGGAGGGTTTTATGTCATTGCTTGATGATGTGGAGGGATTTTTTTTTTCATCGGGGCATTCTTGATGAAAAAACGGTTTTTTTTGTGGGGATGTTGAAGAGGTTGGGATTATGTCTCTTGGGACATGGGGAAATTTTGTTCGAATTCAAACAAATAAATTCGATGACCTATTTTGCCCTGGTTGTCTCCGAGGGATATATTAGGGAAACAATGTAATCAGGTTCAGGATATCCAAGTATTTTGACAATTTTTTCTTCAGTGAAATTAGAAATGTTTTTCTATTTTTTGCAGTCGAACATCAGAGCTGTCATTTGGTTCTCATTTGACACTAAGTTCCCGGACATTTCACGGTGATTTTATTGTTTAAACTTAACAGGTCTGAATTAGAATCTCGATATTGAACCGTTAGAAAATATTCAAAAATCTGAAAAAAAATGGAAATTTTACTTTTGGAGGAAGATTGATGAAATAATTTTAAAAATGCAGTTTTTGAAAATTGCGAGCATTTTCTATGAATAATTTGTCAACAATAAATTTTTCACCATAAGAATTATTAATTCGGAATCAAAACAATTCAAAATTTTTCCAGAAATTGATTTCATGTCTAAAAAAATTAGGTTTCCAAAAATTCTAATGTTTAAAAAAATAATAATTCTGGGCAAAATGTAATTTCAATGACGCGGAGTATTCATGATTTTTTTTCAAATTTTCCTCACGCAATTTATTGATAAATTTAATGATTGAAAATAGTTGAATGTATTCTGCGGTCTGTAAAATCTCGAAATCTGAGACAGTTAGCAATATTTCTGTTATGAACTTTTTTGTAGAGCGAATTAAGCGCACCAAAAAGGTAATTACGAAAATTAGGTTATCTCTCTTAGATTCGGACATATTCCTCGAAAACTCAGCCAAGGATTAAGTAGTCTTAAACCGTTTCCGCTTGAATTCTATTTTATTCAGCGTTACGCAGCATTCCTTGAAGATCTAATATTTATTAATTTTGACATTGTAAATTTTATACTCAACATTGAATCGTTGAGCAACGTTTGACAAATCTGGAGAGAAATTACAGTATTCCCTTGGAAAGGTTCACAAAATAATCAATTATAATTTTTGGATATTGAATAATTTTTTTAGAAGCATACCAAATGCATACCAAATGCTACTTTCCACCTCATCAATTAATAATCAATGACAATCTGTCAATTGTCCACAGTGAATAATCTCCCCTCCCTCCCCCAAAAATTTTTCACCCTCCTCATCCATCAGTA